GGCGCTAACATAGCAGTTTTCATTTTTCCCCATTGACTTGTACCCAATGGTGAGGTCACATGAGTCGTGAATGACCTGTCCTCATGTGATTTTTAGGGAAAATCCGAGATAAACAAGTTGTGAGACCTCTGGAGGATATCTACTACATCATGTAAGTTTCATGTCCCTGTGAAAGTTCCTCTGGCACTGACGACGTTGCGAAGTTGCGACATCTGAGGACTGTGCAGAGGTTCACTTATGACGTCACAGGTCAGTGACCTGACCTGACCTGAAAATGCGGTTGATGTCACAAGATGCGGCTTGGATCAAAGGTCAGGTATGCCAAGGTTCAGCTCTCTACCGCCGGCGTGTTCGGAGCTATAGTGAAAAACCCTATGGGGGGCGGCACCCGCCCCCCCCCTCCCCGTCGGCCGGCGAGGGTTAATGATACATGTAGTACCTGATACGAGCATAAGGTTAAAAAATGACTAATTTCAGTTCAATAATAACGCTCGAAAGCGTCACAGCTAGACAAAAAAGAAAAGCTGTACTTAAAAATAAACGAATGTGAACACAATCTCCTTGACCGAATCCTTACAAAATGCAAGTCACGGGCCATGGCACCCCAGAAAACCTTGCTTAAAAAGACCCACTGAATCGCCACGAAATCAAGTGCTTTAACATAGGCGTGTCATCTCTATGTATATAAGATCTCTATGGTAATTATTAGATGAGCTGCAGTGAGAAATACTGTTGGCAATGGCATTAACAATGGCTTGCGGTTCACTTATTTTAACCCCATTTAGCATTAGGGGTGTGATGGGAGCGGGGCGTTTCTTGCCAGAGAGGCGGCGAATCGATCCCCATATTTGACTCAACGGTGTCGTCGATGTAAATGTCTGTAAAAATGAGTGCCAGGCACGACGTTTTGCTTCTCGGATAATACGCCTGGTTTTGGCTCGCTCTCGGTTACGTTCTATTTGGTGTGCTACATCAGGGTTGCGTAAGTAGCTCCTAAAAGCACGCTTTCGTCGAGCTATAGCCAGAGCTACTTCCTGATTCCACCAGGGTACCGGGATGCGTTTTGGTCGTTTTTTGGTGAGCGGAATGGCTTCTGATGCTGCATTTAAAAGTGTATTAGTGATAAAGTCAATTCCTTGCTCTGGGGATATGAATGCTTCTTGTGTGATTGTAGCTTTGTTGTAGAATTTATCCCAGTCGGCTCTTGCTAAATTCCAACGTGGTATGAAATTCGAAACGCTGTCCTGACGGGGACAAAATGTCGGCGTCAGTTTAATTGGGAAGTGATCACTGTCATAAATGTCACTGTCTACTTCCCAGTCAAAGTGGTTTCCTAAAGAGGCGGAACACAGCGAAAGGTCTATGGCAGATTGTGTGTTGTGTCCTAAATTAAAGTGAGTATTGGAACCAGTGTTTAACAGAACAAGTCTGTGATTGTCTATAAAGTTTTCAATCATGTTTCCTCGCCGATCGGCGTGAACTGGGTCGTGCGACCATGCTTGGCTGTGGGCGTTAAAATCGCCGAGAAGAACGTATGGGTTTTTAAAATGTCCTACTAGGCGCAGCAGGCTGACATGTAACATCGCATTGTCTGTATCAGGTGGAACATACAGTGAACAAAAGTCAATGTCCCGGCCGTGCAATCGAATCGTGCAGGCAACGGCCTGGAGCTTAGTTTTGAGGTTGATCTGTGAATGTACAAAGTCATTACACACATACATAGCCACACCACCATGTCGGCGTACCCCGGTGGTGTCATCCTGACGATACAGTGAATAGTTATTGAGATCGAAATTGTTCGCATCGTCTGGTAATAGCCACGTTTCCTGAAGGGCTATTAGAATTGGGGTTAGAACACTAAAGAAGTGTTTCATATCGCCCCATTTCGATGGCAGCCCTCGACAGTTCCATTGAAGTATCACTGACATTGGGATGACGAGTTAGAAGGGCCGGTGCCAGCGCCTTTTGTTGTCAGCGTTTGACCATCTCGTGACTCACCAGCTTTAGACGCAGGTAGCCGGCTGCGTGTTCTGCGCCGAGATCTCCCCAAGTCCACAGGCTCGGCAGGCTCAGTCTGTCGAGCCGGATCCTGGTACCGGCTGCCAGCTGGCGCGTAGCGCGGTGGTGACCCGGTCGGCGTCTGGACAGTAGCAACAGCGGCTGCGGCCGCGCTCTGACCTGCTGTTGTCGGTCGTGCGTCGGCCGAAGAAGCTGGGCGGTTGTCCGGGGCGAGCTGTGGTGGATGGCGGCTATCCTGAGACCGTGAGTCCGCCGGCCTCCGGTCGGCCGCTCGTCCAGCCTCGCCTCGGTCCTGCGCCTGTCCGTTGAGCTTCTGCGCTGAAGTCCCAGTCGTTGACGTTCCTGAGGCCGGTGCCAGAAGCTGTAGACCAGGGAGGCTCGGTATATTGTCCGTCTGTGTGCCACACGAGACCGATCTGGTCGCTGCCACCTGGGCGTAGGTCTTGCCGGCAGGGGTACGGCCCTCAATCGTGCGCCGTGCCTGTTGGTACGTCACTCCGGTCTTCGCAACCAGGCTGCATACCTCTTTTTCTGTCTTCCACTTTGGGCACTGTGTGGAGTTTGCCACATGTTCGGAACTTGCACAATTGAGACATTTTCGTGCTGAAGTGCACGTTCCGTCATGAGGGGCTTCTCCACACTTCATGCAACGAGCAGTCTGTCGACAGGTCTTTGTCCCATGACCAAATCGTTGGCATTTGAAACACCTCAGTGGGTTCGGAATGAACACTCTGACCTCATATCGGAGGTGTCCTGCGATGAGGTGTGTCGGCAGTCGGTTCGTTTCAAATGTCAAGACCAGCAGGTTCGTATCTCGTCGTTCGCCGTCCTTAAAAGTCGTCTGTCTACGGACATGTATGACTTTTTCGTCTCGTAAACCTTCGAGGATTTCTGCCTCTGCCATGTGTCGAAGTTCGGGGGCGAAAATCAACCCCTTCGTAGTGTTTCGGGCATTGTGCAGTGAGACGGAGACGGGTTTTGAGCAGAATTCGGTGATTTTCAGCAGTGCATTTGTCTGTGCGCTTGTTTCGGTCTTCACAATGATACTACCGTTGCTTGGACATTCAATGGACAGTTTTGAGCTGCCGCAGATACCTTGAAGTTGTTTTGAGGGCCAGAATACATTGACTTTTCTGAATGAAAACGTATCATCCACTGGTTTTACAACCACATAGGATCCCAGGGGGTCCAGTGTCATGTCTGTGTCATGTCTTTGGCCTCGAATATTAAATATCTGATATATGATAAATATCTGATAAAATATATCTGATAAATATCTGATAAATATCTATATAAAGCACATTTGACAGATTCTGAAGTGGAAAGCATGCTTATCAGACACGGGCACCTCGATGCGGTGGATACTTTTTTCCACAAACCAAAACGTTTAGCCGTCAAAAAGCAATCGACCGAAATGGATAGATAACCCAACCGACACAAGAACAACCGAACACCCGCCGATCGAAAATATCCCTTTTCGCGTTGCGGAGCACGCGGGCCACCCTAGTGCCCCTCCATTTGTAGTTGCAGTTGCAACCACAATAAAAGACGCTATCGAGTTCCAGGAGATCCCTCGAGTTCCGCGAGGCTCGCCACGCTCCCCTCATGCCCGCCCCCGTCCTTGGACCATGGTGATCAGGTTTTGCTGCCGTGCTGCAGTGTATACCTAGCCGCGCGGGCCTTGTGCAGGGTGGGACATGTCGTAACATGAACCGGTCCTCTGGTTAGCAGGGGCTTGTACTGCGCACATCTTACACCGTCACAGCTCATGTGATACTTTTTACCCACGACTGCCAAATATATAGGTACCAATCCCAACACTGTGAACGTTTTTTTTTGTGGAACTCGATATGTGTGCCTACCGGTAAGAGCAATATAGGTACGAAAATAGAATAGTTATATGATTCGATAAATTGTTATTAAGATCAAGATGTCTATGTTCATCTACCTTGGCTGAGCTCCAAGAAGTTGTTAAATCGAAGTACAATGCTTCATGGAACACCTGCAATGACATTGCATGTAAAGAACGTTTTACTTCCACGGAACACAGTGTGATGCAACACTTAATGCTTGTGTAAATACTTGTAGGTGGAAACAGAAGTTATCGCGTACATATTTCACGGTAACGAGGGCGTAACATATCTAAACTATATGCAGTGCACGCAAGCGGATGATCCATCCTGTCATTACGGAGCGAGCGAAGCGAGCGTAGTCTTTCCTTAGATTAACGGAAATTTCTGAGTATGAGCGGCCGGCCGGCTGTGGTCACGCTTTTGCGAGGCTTATATCTCAGCAACCACTTGACCGATTTACATGCGGTAATTTTTGTAGGGTAGCTTCATTCCTTCTACCAAGTATTGCACTATTCCCGATGCATGTGGGTGACCCCTTATGCACGTGCCACGTGCAAAACGAAGAGGTGTCACTTTTGCAATTGTTGCAATATCTCGGTAACTACTGGGCCGATTGCGCTGAGAGTTGGCATGTAGGTAGGCACCCACTAGGCAATGCATATCCATGTGCCAGAGTTGGGGTGCTGCTGCACGTGCGCACGTGCAGGGGTCGTTTCCAGATCTCGAGAACGGCTGGACCGATTGCGCTCAAATTTGGTACACGGTTACGGAGCAGTTAGTAGGGTGCCGTGCACAAGTCAGTTGGGACCCATTTTGCACGTGCGCACGTGCAGGGTGCCGCTTCCAGATCTCGAGAACGGCTGGGCCGATTGTGCTCAAATTTGGCACATCGCTAGCTAGAGACCGGTTAGAAGGGTGCCGTGCACAAGTCAGTTGGAGGTACCCCTCGAAATTTCGCACGTGCAAGGCTCACCCTCTCGCTCGCTCCGTTAGTCGCCCCAAAAGGCGTTATACTGGTTTATATTTTTCTCAACATAATGTTTACCTACTGCACATTTCCCCGAAAGACGGTTCGTTCTTTGAAGCGTCCTCGATTACACAAGGCTCATGCAGGTCCAATGCAAAGCATTTCTGGACCCCCATTAATAATATATTGTGTAATGTAGCCAGGTTATAGCACACCTACAGTACAGAATGCTTCATTACAGGCAGGCGAATATCTACACTAAATACTAATAACAACAATAGCTGCAGTTATAGCTGCACTTGACAACCGCAAAGATACGTTTACTTTACCTAGCTGCTACGCTCTTACTATGACAGGTCTCATACGCTGAGATTTGATCTATGTTTAATAAATACCTACAGCCGCCAATCATAACTCACCAAGCTGGGAGGCCGTGGCGATGTGAAATGGACCACGGGACGAGCCCGGGGCCCAGGGTCAGCCCTCAGCCACTTCACTAATGGACGCGGCTAGGGACGATCCATTTCAACTCTGGGACGGGCGGCGGCCGTCACTGCCCGGCTGACGGCGGTGGGGAAACAGGCCCGGCTGCAGCAGGGCAGAAGACTACCGTCAGAAACAACAACGGCATCGTCATGGTGGATCGGTGATAAGCTTGGCGCCGATGAAATCCTTGTCTCAGTCCGTCGGGGCATCACCTCGCCGGCTCGTGCAGCGGAGAGTCCGCGGCTCGTCCCCGAGCGGCGGGGGCGGCGGGTCGAAAGGCGGCCGCTGAAACAACAACACACTTAGCAGCAATCAGCCGCGGGCCGGCGGCCGGCGTGCAAACAGCCGGATTGGCCGCGCGGTAAAAACGGCCGCCGCCGCCCGGCGTTCATTAGCATGGTGGCCTGCTGGACCGGACAACACCCACGTGTTTGTTGTGGTCGTCCTGCTGCAGCGCGCTATACCTACCCACCACGTGGTGGTGACTGGGGAGTGGGGAGGTGAGCAGAGTTGGTATGGACAGCGTGCACCTGGCGAAAGGTGGAAACCGGGAGGGGCAGTCAGACGGACGGAAAGAAGGCTAATTTGGGCAATTCAAGGTGATTGTGCATTTGTGAACGTAAGACACATGCAATCTGTGTTTTAGGAATCCTGCCCGGGAAGGCTGCCAGGCTGCCTCACCAATAATTGTGGCCCCGCGCCTAAGACGGCGCCTCATCTATCCGGTCACTGTCCTGTCCGTCTCGCGGTCTCGTAATGCTCGTCTTCCTGCCCAGCCCTCCGATCCAGTCAGAGCAGCCCGAGGCGTTTGTTCGTCTGGTGACACTTATCGACAGGGCCGGTGCCGCGCCGCGCCGCACCAATTTGGCGCTTCGGCGCCGGAAATTGGCGGCTCCGGGCGGCGGTGCGGAGGTCCGGAGGTCGTTCACTCGCGGGCTAGTGACGCCGCGCCGCGCATCACTGGGCACTGAGCACCGGGAGCCGGCGGAGGGTACACAGGCGGCCCCCGGGGCGGTGCCATGGGCGCGGCGGGCGCGGCAGCTCCGTCCACCAGAGGGGAATCGGGGAGGGTGGAGGCGGAGGGGCGCCTGCCGAGATACAGTGGAGCATCACATCGCACCGGTCGGTGATCGTCACCGAACTCTAGACGGTGGGATTAGCGGGCTGAGGGTATCCTACAGTGTGGGAACCAACAAAGCCTTGTGCTCTCTCCACTCAACAGGTAGAAACGAGAAGAAGCATCAGCCTCACCAATCGAACAATCTATAGAATACGTTGGCCATCCTTGAGGACGGTGCAGGTCGTACTCCGGCCTCGTGAGATAGAGTCGACAATCCCGGACAAGGACAGGCTCCGTGTAACACAGGTGTCACGAATGTCACGAGCGCCTGAGCTAAAGAATAAATTATGAAGGATGGGCTTATAAATTGTTGTTTCTCCGCGGGGGACTGGCATAGACGTTCAATTTTCAGTATGAAATATAGGATGTATGCAATATTGTGGTAAACGTGCGCTATGTAAATTTATGCATTTCATACAACCTAAGTCTTCCACAGACTCAGTCAAATCTTAGTTCTCATTTACATACATTCAGATAGCCATTGGGATGAACCGATCTTCAATGACCGGCCCAAGGTCTTACTGCGGGTCGGTGCATACCGTTCCCAGCCGTCCGTCGTTTCCCGTCAACCCGAAATGTCACATTCAAGCCGTTCGTCCCGAGTACGTCACAGCCACTCGACGTGTCACGTCCGTCTCGGCAGACAGGCGCCGAACGTCCAACCGTACCCCAGTCCTGTCCTGTCCTGTCCTGTCGCAGCCGTCACCGCCGCCGGCGCTGTCCACGCCGAGATGACCTCGTGTCGTAACGCCGCACCCCTGTCGGTCGGGTCGGGCCGCCGCCGACCCTTCTGCTGATCGTGGGTGGCCGGTCGGCGAGCGGACCAATTATGCCGCGCTGTTTTCCCTTTCGCCGGCCGAAGCCGCGCCCCGCCCCAGCCCAGCTCATCGGAGATTTACGTGAGAACACCGCGGCGCGCCGGAAACGAATCGACCGCGCCGGCGTTGTCTCGCTAATGAATCGGACTCGGACGAAATCACTGCGTCGGTCTACAAGCGCGCCGGTTCCGCCGCCAGAGGACGGATTGTTGAGCGCGCGCAAAAAACGTGGGCTCGCCGGGCGTCGCTATCGAAATCCCATTAGGCGGTCCGTCCGGAGTGCGGAGTGGACTGCAGCTGGTGCTGGGACCCTGTGAGATGGCCGTTGGCCGCCGGCCTTCGGCGCCCGCGCTGGATGCGGAGCGCCACCACCTGCCGACCGGCCGGCTCCGTCCCCACCGCGCCGCCGCCTCAACAGCTCTGTTTGTCGGCCCTAGATTTGTGTAAGAATACGAGAGGAGATAAACAAAAATTGGCGGGAAAGGGGAGAACATTTGTGCGGCGGCGGGACGGACGGACAGGTGTTTTTTACCGGAGCAGAGGAAGGTAGGATGGACCGGAGCGTGAGAGGGAGAGAACCATGCCGGGAGACGGACGGAGGAGCAGCTGCTGCTGATGGCAACGGTTGACCGCGGCCGATAGCGCCTTCCCGTATGAAGAGTATCGAAGAAAAATGAGACAGCGGGTACCAAAACCCGTTAGATTCTAACGATTTGAAATGCGATGTCATTATGAGAAGTTTATTTGTGGATAAGATTTTTTTCTCACACTTTCTGCTGCAATAATAATTTACCGATGCACAATCAGAAAAATGTGCACTAAATAGCCAACAGGAACTCAGCTATAGAGGCACACCTAAAAGTTTAGGCATTCTAAATACTGGATAATGGATAGTGCAAGAGAGCACCGTGATATCGACGCTCACTAGAATTCACACGTGTTGCTAAACTGGCTTTGGATTTATGCACATCTTGATAGCTCGTTTTAGCTTTTCGGGGATCCATAAGCTGCAGTCCGGTTTTAATACGTGCGTGTGTACGAAGCCGTGCTGTTACTCTGCAGGCCCCACGGTGTCGGCCCCAGCCGGGGGGCAGGAAAAGGAGCGCGCACGGCCCGCTTCCCCTGTCGGACCGGTCTCCCGAGTCCAGACCCGCCGGCGGCTGCATCCGAGGCGCTGCAACACTACCCCTCCCCTCCCTAGACCTTCGGGCCGTGCAGTTACGTCAGCCGGCCGTACTACGTCCGTGCCGGGTCCGGCCCCGTGCAGCCGGGGCCCGGCGCCGGCCGCCGCCGCGCTCCGCCGTGCCCCTGTTGCACGCCGGCCGCCGGCCTGCAAGTCACGGCGTATTCAGCGCGGGCGCGTGGGGCCTCATGGCAGAGGAGCGAGGCCGTTTTCTGTGTGCGTAATTAGCTGTGCGCGCGGTGGACTTTGGTCGCTGCAGGCGCACTGTCGGCACGCAGTGACCTCGCTGCACTGCCGCGGCCGCGGCACTGCAGTTCAGTGGCCTTGGCGGCGCCGGGGACGGGGAGAGTCATGAGCGGCGACCCGACAGGAGGCGCCGCCGGGGCGGAGTCCGGGGCCGGGACTGGCCCCTCTGGCCCCCGGACACTCGACGGAGAGAAGACGGGGGTTCCTCCTGCACACTGACAGCCATGCAACACACTGGCTACAGCACCCCTCTCCCCCGTCCGCGGCGAGTCAGCAGAAAAACGCCATGGGTACCGTACTGCGGCCGCGAGGAAGTGGTGGTTTTAGCGCTGCAGCTGAGCGGCTTTTCCGAGCCGAGCCGTCGATGGGGCCGGCAAAAAGGCTCACCTGGTGATGCAGCGGCGGCCTTGCGACGGGCTCACGACTCACTGATGTGCAGTTAGTGTGTGATCCGACGGCGTCTCAGCACTTCTAAATCAATTTTTACGTCTCTTGTATGTATATTGACTCATTTCATTTTAATCACTACATACGCTCTTATTTTACAATTAGATACCTACGTCGTTTTGTAGTTGTCAAGTTGCGCTTGTCAGCAGCCATGGGCGGTAACTCTCTTCATGCCAGGGCCCAAACCTGCGGATGAAGGTCGAACATGTCACTTATACGAGCTATTGCGTCGTGAAATCGCCGACGGCTACAATCAGCGAGCGCGCGCGTATACGAACTACGAATACTGTCGTGTGTACGAGGGTCGGTTACGTAACCCCCGATAGTGATTGGCGGGCGTCCGTATATACATGACCGCGTCTCGCCGGAGGGGTCTGGACAGTGTTCCCCGCACCATGGAAGGCATGAGCCCCCCTGCGGGGACGCTTGTGGTTTATTTATTCACCAAAATGTCGTGCTGGGACTGCGCCCGAGCCGCGCGGCCTCCCACCCCATCCCCAACGGCGGGACGATCCATCTGCCCCGGTCCTCCCGAACGGTCCCGCCCCCTCCCCCCCCCATGTCCCCGCGAGCTGTATGTATATTTGTGCTGGGTTTTGAAACGAGGTCAGCGGCGGGCACGTAAATCCCGACGGCCACAAATAAACGAGCTGCGAGTGTCACGAGTGTCGGCCTCGGTAGTAAGGTCGTGCGTAACGCGATATCGAGAAGGAGCGACAGCCACTTGACCTCTCAACTGAGTACACATATTGATAGGATGCACCGTGCGGACGTAGTACTGCGACCTACACCACGCTGAACCTTACAATCGAGTGGATCGCTCAATCCCGATGGTTCGATACTGAGCGATTTCATCGTTCTTACGATAAGACCCACCCAGCGTGCGTCCTTCGATGGTTCTCTGGTGGGGGCGCCGCTCCCCTGACGCCCCGTCCCTCGCTGGTGGCACGTGCTCGTCGTTTGAGACAGATCGGCCGCGGGCAGACAGAAATCCAATCACCGGTATTGAACGATCCACCAGATGGGACGGCTGAGGAGAGTGGACGGGAGCCGCCGGGTCCTCAGGCCCATGGAGGAAATAATGATTCACCCTGAATAGACCACCTCCTCAGCTCAATGTAATACTTGTTTATCTGAGGGCATTCACAATGCCGCGAATTGGGATGTCCAATAGTCATCTCCTTCAATACACTGGTATAATGGGCACTACGATTTCGGTTGTTTGAAAACGTAAGAAAGAAAAAAGGACCATTTTGTGCTAAGGGATTACCTACTTTAAAAAAAATACATAACATGGCCCATGGGTACACAACATATTGATCAAAACATTTGCGCTTACCTACGTTAGTTTGCCCTAAAAATTTGACAAGGTATGGTTTTAGAAGACCAGATCCAGCCAGTTTTCATGTGAGCCTTCAGCTCCCAGCTCTGTACGTTAAGTTCAACTCCATCAGCTCCAGCCAGTATTCCAAACGGTGCCCTATCAGTCCTACCACGGACACCATCCAACGGTCTCCTTTTGCACCTCAGCTGTCATATACAGAGGCTGTCTGATGGACGGGCAGGTGGTAAGCTCCGGCCACCGGCAGGGGTGCGGTCGGTCCGTGGGCAGGAGCGGGGTAAACACCAGCCCGGAAGCGTCTCGCTCTGCTCCGCTGGCCAACTGGGGCACTGTCCCATCCCTCCCTGTCCCACCGTCCCGTCGTGCTCGGCGTCACGGGAGGGGCACCTGTCCGAGCGCCGTGGGAAGTGGCAGCTGTCACATCTGTGTACCGAGCGACGGATCTGTGTCATCTATCATAATTTTGATACAGAAGAACGGATGTATGTCAGCTGTCACACTTAGATACGGAACTTTATGAAGGCTGGTCATCTGTCATCATGGGCTTTTTAAAACCGAAAGACTGGTGAATTCATCCTTCTTCTCATTTTTAATCTTCAAGCTTCACTATTCAGTGTTCCATTGGAAGTGTCGACTTTACTTAAATGGCCTCCTTCCCTTCTCAGTCGTGATTCGTTGTTTGATCTTTCATGGTGATGTGGAGTCTTGTACGATGTGCATTGTGCAATGTGCAATTACACCCCTGGCACTAAAACCCGCCCTCGAGTCGAGAACAATGAGACCTCTACCGCCAGGTGCGGACTCTGTTCTAACGGGTGCAGCAGGCACAGAGGCAAACGACGAAGGCAGTGTAAGCAAGCACGAAAACACGCCGACTGGACCGGCCTCAGCTCCTGTGGTCCCACCGTGTTTGGTCTGTCCATAGGCGAGCTGTGCAGGTCCGTTAGTGCTCCGTATCGCAGTATGGCGCCATTGTTCAGAGAACATGATGAAATAGGTCGGCCCCCGTCGAGCACAAACGTCACAATGGTCTGTTTCTGTCAGCCGCAGGGGCGCAGGCTCGTACCACAATTATAGGCCCCAGCAAATTATTTTCATATAGTTATGTATATTGTATAGAAAATGTACAGTTAACTACCGCCAGTGCGTGTATTATGTTACTGGCAGTCAGCAACGTTTTGCCAAACTACTTCGATTCAAAGTCAAATAATGCATTTTTCTTATCGAAACATGATAAGAAAACTAAAACTTTCCGTGATCTGTCTACTAAGCTGGGACTTAAGTAATTCAAACAGTCTGATTATTTTGAACGTACAGTTTTCAAAGGGCACAAAAAATGAATTTCACTGGACTCGGCGAAACATTGTAACTGTCCAATGAAAATTCTGGCTACGTATTTATACTACATTCTTATGTGGACTGTAAGCCTACTGCTGTAGCCCGACAAGTCGTGTTGCCACCGAGGGGCGACTGATCCATGTGGCCCACCCCACCCAGCCCACCACGCCGTAGGGATTGGCCGGGGCCAGTGCACTGAGCCGGGGGACAGAGGGCCCGGCACAATTACCGACCTTTTGTCTCTACGGCCGGACGGCGGCGCGGACGGTGGACGTCCGGTGGCCATTTAAAGACAGACCCCCAGGGCATGGAGAGGGAGGGTAGGAGACCTCCCCTCACCATGGGCCATGGAGAGGGACGCCGAGCAGTGGCCAGTGGGTAATGGCGCCGCTGGAAAGAGCGGTGGGCGATAGAGCATATAGCCACGGAAGTGTGAGTTCAATGGTGCCATCGTCCTCTTTGACCTCAGCAGCATGACGGTGCTACCGATATAGGTATAGCCCTTCTGTAAACATGCAGATCACATGATTTGTAATTTATAGGGGTCATTGTCGGTAATCTCATCAGGTTGGAGAATTCGACGCTCTCCCGAAACAAATGTCAAGGCAGGCCAGCTACCTACAGGGTGATCGAAAAAAAGTGTCACCCCTAACTTAAAATCTACATAACTCGCGACTGGTAGGCCGGATGACTTCGCGCCAGGCAGCATCGATAAGAGCAGGCAATTTCTTTTCAATTGAATGTATTCATGATTGTTTTCTATTCCAAATCATGTCCCCATGGGCTCAAAAACCAGTCAATGTGCGGCTTTCACGTGAAACGAAATTCACCGAACGGGATCGGACACCGCTGAACGAGAACAATGCGTATCGTAACTCAACATGACACACACCTTACACATTACACATGGAGTGTATGTTGTTCACTGCAGACTGTTTCTCAGCTGACCTTAGACTCGTTTCTCAGCTGACCTTAGACAAGGAAGACCTTATCAGATCTGCCTTGCAAACATGCGGCCTCATTATTCACAAATTCGGCGATAACTAGCGAAACATTGCGACAACCTGCCTGCACTACCGGATTATCAATTTTATGCAGCGGTAGCCATGGAACAGTTAATAAAAATGCTCACGTGGGCTGTCAGATCAAAAACTCTGTCAAAAGTACAAATTTGCACAACCAAACTTTTGAACACGCCAAATTGCGTCCTTAACATACTTTTTGAATAGCTACATCTTCGTTTGCGGCATAAACCATGCATATTTACATCCATTCGAAAGGAAATTGTATGCTCTTTCCAATGCTGCCTGGCGCAAAGTCGTACGACCAAGCAATCGCGAATTATATGGCTTTTAAATTAGGGGTGACACTTTTTTTCGATCACCCTGTATATAATATTCTACTATTCAGCCTATAGGTATAGGTATGTACAAATAATTTCGCACGATATCCTCCAGTCGTCGTATCTTCCTCAAAGCTATGGACGATTGCTGTTATTATAGCCGATAGTAGGTATATCTTACACCTTACATGTAGAAAAGCTCCAGTCTGTGACTGAATTTTGATGAACCTGTTATTCAGAAGACAAATCTAACAGCCGAGCCGTCAATCATAAATTTTTCCTTTTACATTTTCCCTGACATGACTGGGCTTTCACAATTCATAATTCGTGTTGTAACGATAGGTGCCACTGCCCAAAAATGTCTATCATCTGACCCCGTGTCTGTCTGGGAAATCAATGTCTCTGTATTTCAAATGTGGAAACGGAGCTGGAAGAACGCAGATAGGTCGTGTCAGTGTTTTGAAATGATAAATGACATCCTCTTCTCTCGAATTGAACATGGGGTGTCGCCCCCATTTCCACCTGAAGGGGCGTCTATAAGTGAGCTGCTCCACCGTAACCGTTGGCCCAGTTACGTCTCTCGACTTATCGAACTCATTCCCACCACTCACAGAATACGGGACCGAGCTATTCACACTCACAATCACACGACAAGAGCAACAACATAATTAATAACCGTCTCCCCATTCACTCGCATCCCTTTCGAGCTGTCACTAAGCCATTGGGTTGTGATATTTCGCCTTTTGCTCGCTCGAGATTGGTTTCAGTGAGAGGAAGTGGACCAGTGCCGCGAACTCAAAGGTTCTTCATGTTCGCAGTGTTCAGCGCGCTTGGCGTTGTTCGCTGTTGTTCGCCATGCACCGAGTGCGCTCCTGGCCGGCGGCAGGTGCGGCGGTCGTCCCCACCGGTCGCCGGGTCTCCCCGAGACAGTCATCCTGCCGTCGGCGTCATCGGCACGTCATTAATCACGTCAGTGACTGGCGCTCGACGGCGACATCGGCCGACGCAGCCTCATGGATATCCGCCATGGACTGTTCGAGTCGTACTAAGGGCCACCTCGGTCCCAGCATCCTGCGACACTTACTTACAGCTTAGTATGGGTATATTTCACCCTTTCCCCACTCACCACATCAGCACCGTCATCCCAGTCGCAAATCACGGTTA